GTATTATTTTGAATTTAGCCCTTTAACTAAAATCTTCTTCAACCAAACTCTGCCATCTCTAAGTAAGTACTTTGAGATTGAATACTAAGCATAAAATCTGCAATTTAGTGCGGAATGTTTACGCTTTCTCGTGTAACAAGCTTGAAAATTGTCTTTTTGTAGAACTTAAACTTTAAATTGCTTGTGTACTTTTCTTCATAAATTATACCACACAATACTAAAGTCACATTGAATTTGTAACAGTTTTGAGAAGAATAATCAGTGTTGCATATTTTATTAAAGAGTACACGTGAATATATATATAGGAAGTAAGGAAAGCTACTAACAAGCCATAAACTAGGAAACTAATTATCCCTTTTAAAGGATAAGATAAACTAATAAGATAAGCTATAAGATTTGAATATTAATTCAAATCTCTTATTAAAAGATAACACTCCTAATAATTATCTCTAATAAATAGAAGATAAAATCTATCATAATCGACACCCCTCCTTAAGTTGGTGCATAGATGTTCAACATGCCCAACTTGCTTGTGAGAAACTCGAAGTTCGGTATGAAGAGTCCCTTGGTAAGAATATCAGCTATTTGTTGTGTTGAAGGAACAAATGGCATACAGATAGTTCCAGCCTCCAGCTTCTCGTTTATAAAATGACGATCGATCTCAACATGCTTGGTTCGATCATGTTGCACAGGATTGTGAGCAATACTAATTGCAGCTTTGTTGTCGCAATACAACTTCATTGGCATCTCAACTGGTCTTTTAAGTTCGTCAAGAATCCGTTTGATCCACAATATCTCACATACTCCATGTGCCATGGCTCGGTATTCGGCTTCTGCGCTACTCCGGGCAACTACATTATGCTTTTTGCTCCTCCATGTAACCAAATTGCCCCATACAAAGGTGCAATAACCAGATGTAGACCTTCTGTCTGTAATGGAACCTGCCCAGTCTGCATCAGTGTAAACCTCAATAGTCTTTTCTTCGCCTTTCTTAAACAACAATCCTTTTCCTGGTGTACCTTTAAGGTATCTTAAAATACGATATACTCCTTCAAAGATGTTCTTTACAAGGAGAGCTCACAACACTTACTGCAAAGGTTATGTTAGGTTAGGTGTGGGATAAATAAATCAGCTTTCCCACTAACTTCTGGTACCGAGCTGTGTCAACCGGTGCTCCATCTTTGCAATCACCTAATTTTTGGTTCGGATCTATGGGAGTATCCGCAGGCCTGCATCTGCTCATCCTAGTCTCTTTGAGAAGATCTAGCACATATTTTCTTTGTGAGACATCAATCCCTTTCTTGATCTTGCAACCTCAATTCCTAGAAAGTATTTCAGGGTTCCCAAGTCTTTGATCTCAAATTCTAAGGCTAATCTTCTCTTTAACTGCTCCATCTCTGCGACATCATTACCAGTGAGAATAATATCATCTACATCCACTATTAAGCCCGCCACTTTACCATCCTTGGAGTGTTTCATAAACATTGTGTGATCACTCTGAGCTTGGACATATCCTTGATTTTTCACCGAATGAGTAAAATTTTCAAACCAGGCCCTCGGAGATTGCTTAAGCCCATATAAGGACTTTTTTAGTTTGCAAACTTTGGAGTCAAACTTCTCTTCAAACCCAGGTGGAGAGGTCATGTACACTCCTTCCTCCAAGTCTCCATTCAGGAATGCATTCTTTACATCTAACTGCTGAAGAGGCCAATCAAGGTTTGCTACAATTGAGAGAAGTACTCTCACTATATTTGTAGAAAGTAGTCGACCCTTGTATTTAGTTAGGAAGTTATTTATTTTCTTAGAATAGATTTCAGTTTCTATATTTTTAGTTTCTGTTTTCCTTAATTAGAGTTTGTAGTTTCCAGTTTTCCTATTTCGGTGGAATTCCTGATTTTCAGGGATTCTATTTCCCTTTCTCGGTGGACTAGTTTGTCAACCACCCTAGCCTATATATTAGGTTGTATATCGTTATTTTGAAATGAGAAAATCGGAATTATTCCATTGATTTCTTCATGGTATCAGAGCCCTAGGTTTCTGAACTCTAATACGTTCCAAACATCTCCTTCCCTTGCCGTACTCTCACCATGACAAAATACAGCATGGCATCACAATCCTCTTCCTCAGAAATCACTTCTAGATCTGAGCCTAATTCTTCAGCCCCTATCATCCCCGATTCCTCCTCTCATCTTGTCACAAATCATAAACTTCATGGCCATAATTTTCTTCAATGGTCACAGTCCATTTTTATGTACATCTACGGCAGAGGGAAGGATGGACATCTCACAGGCGAAATCTCTGCTTCAGAAACAGCAGATCCGAAATACAGGGCCTGAAAAACTGATGATCACTTGGTTATGTCATGGCTAATAAATTCCATGACCACGGAGGTTGGAGAAAACTTTCTGCTCTTCAGGACAGCCAGGGAGATATGGGAGGCTGCACATGAAACGTATTCCAGCACTGAGAATTCCTCAGAGTTGTTTGAGATTGAGACCAGATTATATGATCTACGACAGGGAGAATCGAGTGTTACTCAATATTTCAACACTCTCACACGCTGTTGGCTGCAATTGGACATGTACGAGATTTATTCTTGGAAATACCCTGATGACTCTGCCTTGCATAGGAAGATTGTTGAACAAAAAAGGGCCATCAGATTTCTTCTTGGCCTCAATAAAGACCTAGACGAAGTCAGGGGAGAATCATGGGGATTAAACCGCTTCCAACTATTCGGGAGGCTTTTGCAGAAGTTCGTAGAGAGGAGAGCAGAAAGAAACTGATGATGACAGACAACCACACTACACCCGCTTCCGAAGGGTCAGCCTTGTACACTCACAATTCCTCTCAGAATAATAAGCCCAGAAAAGGACGACCATGGTGCGACCATTGTAAGAAACTTGGTCATGTGAAGGAGACATGCTGGAAAATACATGGAAAACCTGTAGATTGGAAGCCATCTAGTGAACGATTTGACAGGAAAAACCGTGCAAATGCTGCTGCTACAACAGGAAATAATGCAGACGTCAGTCCATTCACCAAGGAGCAACTTGGGGCACTGCAGAAGATGCTTGGTCACGTTTCCAGTTCCGGACAAGCACCACAAGCATCACAATCCCCTGCCGAGCAACCTACCAGCCTTCTAGCACACCAAGGTATCCTATCCTATGCTCATATTGTCCAAAATAGGACACCAAAACCGTGGATAGTTGACTTGGGAGCCTCAGATCATATGACTAGAGACATTAACTGCTTCAGAAATTACAATCCATGTACTAGTCACTCTGCAATCCGAATAGCTGATGGTTCATTTTCACCAGTAGCAGGAACCGGACTAGTCCAATTAACAAAGGATCTTCACCTTTACCCTGTCCTTTATGTCCCTAAATTAGACTGCAATCTACTCTCAATCAGCAAACTTACTCGTAACTTAAAATGTGTGACTAAATTCTATTCCAATTTTTGTGATTTTCAGGCAGTGGATTCGGGGAAGGTGATTGGCAGTGCTGAGATGCGTGGTGGCCTATATTTGCTCAAAGAAAATAATCTCCTTGGTAGACAAGTTCACCCGTCAAGTTGTGTTTCTGAGTCGAGTTCAAATTCTGTCAATCTTGTTTCCAATTCTGTTTCAATTGAGAGTCAAGTCATGTTATGGCATTGTCGCCTTGTCATCCAAATTTTGGATACATTGAAAAGTTGTTTCCACATATTTGGGGACCCTCATGAGTAAAAAATATAAATAGGGCTCGATGGTTTGTGTCATTCATAGATGATCATACGAGAACAACTTGGACATTCCTTATGAAAGAAAAATCCGAAACAGCCACCATCTTTCAATCCTTTCATTCCATGATCTCTACTCAATTTCAAAGCAACATTCAAGTTCTTAAAACAGATAATGCCAAGGAGTATTTCAATTCCATTCTTGGTCCTTATCTTTCCAAGCATGGTATTATTCATATAAGCTCTTGTGTTGATACTCCTCAACAAAATGGGGTTGCTAAGGGGAATAATAGACATTTACTTGAGGTGGCCCGTGCCATTATGTTCTCTAATCATGTGCCTAAACACTTTTGGGGGGAAGCCATACTCACAGCCACATATCTCATCAATAGGATGCCTAGTCGAGTCCTAAAATTCCAAACTCCTTGTCATGTTCTCATGGAAACCTATCCACATATCCGCTCCTTTTCTTCCGACTTACCATTGAAGGTTTTTGGTTGTTGTTCCTTTGTTCACATCCACCAACAACACCGGACCAAACTTGATCCCAGATCTCTCAAATGTATCTTCCTCGGTTACTCCTCTAATAAAAAAGGATACAAGTGTTACTCACCAATCACTAGGAAAGTATACAACTCCATGGATGTCACCTTTTTTGAGAATCAATCTTACTTTCCCAAATCTGAAATTCAGGGGGAGAACTCGAGGGAATATCAGATTTGGGATCTTCTCCAAGACACTCGGGCCATTTTTCCGTCAATAATTCCAAACACTTCCACTCAATCGACTCTACTTGAAGAACCAAACTCTGCCACTGAAATAGCCCCAATTGTCCCTACTCCACCTCAACTTGACACTAACGATCATGAACTTCGTGTCTATACCAGGAGGAGAAGACCAACCGAGTATATAGAGGACACCACGCAGACCTGTGACTATCAAGAACCAGAACCAAGTCCTCCTGCATCCGATAATCACAATGGTATGAATTTCGTAACTCATGACTCTATTGTGCCAGTGGTTGATGACTCTGATCAGCCAATTGCCCACAGGAAAGGTGTTCGAGGGTGCATTGGTCATCCAATCGAAAGATATGTAGCTTATGGGAAGTTGCTACCACCTTATAGGGCTTTTGTGTCCAATCTTGATAGTGTGGAGATTCCTAATTCTATCCAAGAGGCTCTAAAGGTTCCAGCATGGAAACAAGCAGTTGAGGAAGAAATTCGGGCTCTAGAAAGGAATGACACATGGATCCTTACAGAATTACCTCATGGAAA